GCACCGTGCCCACTGTTCTTCTCTGACCAGGTCCCTCCCCTCATCTCCAGGCCTTCAGGGCTCATCTGTGAAATGGGACCAGCGGGAGCCACTCTGGAGCAGAGATGTACAAATGCTTGAAACAGGAGAAGCTGGGTGTGGGGTTGGCTGACTCAGATCCCTGCCAGGACTCCTGAGGGCGGGAATCGGGGGCTCAAAGGCCAGCTCTGGCCAGGGAAGCAGGCCCAGGGACTCGGATGGGCCCGAGTTCAAGTTGTGGCTCGGTGCCGTCCTACCCAACTCTGGGCCTCCCCGAGTTTCCAATGTCTTCGCTGTAGATTGAGGATAAGAACTAGCCAGGGCCCAGGTAAGGACTGCATGAGGGAAGGGCGGGCTGAACCGTGGCCCCTCGTCTCACCTCCCTGTTGTAAAAGCACCTGCTGCACCTGTCCCAGAGGAGGCTGAGGGAGGAGATGCAGTAGAGGGAGCCCAGTGACAGGGATGTTCTGGGTGCACATAGGAGTGGTTCAGGCCAGCCCCCAACTCCATCTTCACCTAGCAACGTCCCCTGGGCCCCTGAGAGGTGCCTGACATAGGAGCTGAGAGGAGCTGAGGTCGCAGTCGGGAGAAAAGCAGAGACCCAGGCAGCCCCGGTTGAACTTGCTAGACGGGGAGGCCCCCAATGAGGAAGCCAAATCCAGGGAAGTAGGATGGCAAGTACAAAGGCCCTGGGGCCAGGGGTAGCAAGGAGGTAAAAAAGGCTTGATGACGTCTAGTGCACGGATCTGGGTCGTCTATGCTTTTGGTGTCCTAAGAAACTTTTGCTTGATCCAAGACCATGAAATTGTACCCTGTTTCCTTCTAAGAATTTCATGGTTTTAGCTCTTATATTTAGGCCTTCAGTTCATTCTGAGTCAAGTTTTATGTATGGTGTGAGGTAGGGCCCAGATCCATTCTTTTGCACGTGGGTATACAGTGGCCTCAGATGGCTCCATCCCCGTGGCAAGGTCTCGGCTCTTTTGTCACAATGCAGTTGGCCATGGAGCTGGGGTGCCTTCCTGGGCTCTCAGTCTGTCCCGTCAGTCTGCACGTCCCACACCACCTCTGAACAGCCCGCTTGTCCACGCTGACCTGAGAGGCCAGCTTGCTCACAGGCCCAGCTCCCACCTGAGTGGGTCTGATCCCGACGAGCTGCTTTGTTCCGTTGATCTGTCTGTGTCCACGGGTCCGTTGAACATCAGCCTGGGCCTCATGTTTTCAGACCGTCAGCCAGACTCTGGGGCCACAGCTGTAGGCAGGGGAGGCAGAGGCCTCCCAGCATCGAGGACAGAAGTGACAGGGCTCGGCCAGGCAGGCAGGGGATGGCAAAAGTGGGACTCAGCGCGCGGCTGCCCCTCCCCACTCTCTCTGTTTCAGGGGCTGGAGAAAAAGGAAATCCAAGCTGAGAGTGGACGCAGAGGAGAAGGCGCGAGCTGTGATTCGGGAAGAATTCCAGAACCTGGGTCCCATCAAGTGTGTGGGTGACTTGGGGTGGGAGAGAGCGGGCGACCGCCTGGCCTGGCCCTGGCCGAGTCCCAGGAGAACGTCAGGACCTGGGAATGACCTGGGAGCCCGCAGGACGGGGACTGGGTAGACCCTTGACCAACAAAGCCCTCAGGGTGCTTGGGGTGGGGACCTGCCCCTTCCCACCTCAGGCAAGTGTCGGACACCACCCCCCGTGGCTTTCAGCTCTTGTTTAATGCCCACTACCCATGGGTGAAAACATCTAGGCTCCACCGGTCTGTGTCCGAGGCTGGCTGTGCACGACTCCCTGTGGGGCTCTGGGCATTGTTCTGACCCTCTCTGGGCCCTGCTGCCTGGTCTGTGAAGGGGGTACACCAGGGAGCCATTTCCTCTTGCATTTGGAGTCTCCCTCCCCAGCCCTGCACCCCTCTCCACGTCTGTCCCTCCCTGTGTGTGCTCCTCTCGGTGGCTGTCCCCTCCTGAGTCCTGTCTCCTCTGTCTCCGTGACGGTTCCTCTCTCTCTTCCCCCGACTTTCCCTTTTCTCTCTGCCTTCAACCTCCGTCTCTTTTCCTCCTTTTCTTTCTCTTTCTTGAAAATTCCCAGAAACCACTGGGAGGGGGTGGCCTGGTGCTGAGGCAGGGTCCTGGGCAAGGGCGGAGCCGGGGACGGAGCCGTCGACCCTCGTCACCCTGCCCTCTCTCTGAGGCCTCCCGGGAGGGGGGAGTCTTTTCAGCTTTCTCAGAGGGACACCTGCCTGGATCCCCCGCCCCTGCTGCTGTCACCTGAACCCAGGCTCACCTCTGTGCCTCTCTGTGCCACAGGTTCGCGGAACAGGCCGTTTTCATCCTGTTCTGCACGTTCGCCATCCTCCTCTTCTCCCGGGACCCGAAGTTCATCCCTGGCTGGGCCAGCCTCTTCCCCGCCGGGTGAGATTCTGGGATGGAGGCCAACGGGGAGGATTGTGGGGTGGGCCGTGTGGAGCTGGAGAGGCTGCAGACCAGGACACCCGTGTCTGAGCTTGTGCCATTGTTACCCTCTGAAAAGAGTTTAGGCTTGGATGATAGAACATGTATAGATTCAGATATTTTTAAAAACAGCCACCTAGCTGGGCATGGTGGTGCAGGCCTCTAATCCCAGCAATTTAGGAGGCTGAGGCAGGAGGATCACAAGTTCAAGGCCAGCAGCCTCAGAAACTTAGCAAGGCCTTAAACAACTTAGTGAGACCTTGCCTCTAACAAATAAAAGGGGCGGGATGGGGCTTAGTGTTAAGCCCCTGGGTTCACCTCCCCCTCGGAGCCGCCAAGCCCTCACTGTGACCTGGGTGATAAAACTTTGATCTACTAAAGGTTGTTTTAAGGCAGAAACATGTAACTTCATGGAGTCGAGAGAACTGACTACTGTTATTCTTTTATTTTTCCAGAATAATTTTCCAGGTACTTTGTTGATTTTTTTCCAGATGCATAATGGATGCTATAAGCATTTCAATGATACAGAGAAAGTGAAAAATAACTCCGAATCTCAACCCCCAGTTCTGATAGACATCTTTTCTGACTTTCAGTAAAGCCCGACCAGATCTGTTTTACCTCTTGGTCAAGTGGCTGGTTACAGGGCTGGGTACATGTGTCCAACCTGGAATTGTACCCAAGACTTTGCATACATCGTGTTGTGTATTACCATGGATACGTCCCATTACAAGTTCATTACGCTTCAGTAAAACTCCTGACAATTAGCTGGAAAGAACTCCAAATAGAAATGTAATCTCAGTAAACAGATCAGCATCCGTTTTTCTCTTTTTTAATTAGAAAAATTATGCATATTCACAAAAATTCAAACAAGACCAAATCTAAAATGAAAGAGTTAATTGCCCTCCAACCACCCTCTGCCCAACTCCCGAGGACAATCACAAGGAACGGTTTGGTGTGTGACATTCCGGATGCGCAGACACATATCAGTGTACACATGCATGCACACAGGGAAGTTTGATCCTGAACAACTTGCGGTTTCTGATTCACTTCATTGTTTTTAGGCCCTTCCAGGCATTCTGTGTCCGGGAGGATCTTATTTTATTTATTTAAGCGTTCCTTACGGAGCTATGTCCAATACCACAAATGAGCCCTTCCTTTTTTCTGTAATTCACAAAATCTTGGTTCTATTTCTATGTGGATGAAGATTGGTGCTATCTTTTATCTCTTTTCAAACAGACAGATTATTTTGTAATGTGGGTGAAACACGCTTTACTTAAGCATGTTCCTATCAAAACTCCTCCCCGTTGTCTTACGGGTAGTGAACACCCTGTTCCTAATCTGTGTGTGAGTCTCATAAATCATTCCTGAGGGTGAACTCCTAGGAGCAGAGGAGCTCAAGGAGCGTTCGCAGGTACAATCTGCGGCTTGTTTTCCGCTGCCTTCTAGAAGGTTAAGCCCGTGCGTCCTCCCTCCCCCGCCCCCCCACCAGGTTCATCCCCCTTTCAGGTTTTGACAATTTATTAGCAGGTAAGTGGTATTTTGTTACTGTTTTTATTTGTGTTTTTCTGGCGTCGGGTTACTGGCCCCCTCCAACCCTCAGCTATGTGCATCCTCCTGTCTCCGCACCTGTGAGCCCAAAGCTCCTGTCAGGAACGGGCTCCGGGCCTCGTGGAAGCTGGAGCCAGGCCACCCGAGCTCAGGCCCCTCTCCGCCACAGCCAGGGTCTGGCCCTGAGCGAGCCCTCTCTGCCCCCGACACACAGGCCTGCCCTGAGGGCCCCACCCCTGCCCAGCTCCCCCCAGGCCCTCTGTGGGTGCTTAAGAGGTGGCATTAGGGGTGAGGCGGGGTACATCCCTGTGGGGAGCTCAGGGGTGCGATAGAGCCCTGGGGGCCCCGTGGACCCCCGTTTTTGTATCTCTCAGAGTCTCCCTCTCTGGCCAGGTCCCTCCTGCTCTGGTCCTTGAATCGGGAGGATTAGCGTTTGGCACCAGCCACGTCTAAATGCCCAGGGGCTAGGGAGAAGGGCCTTTGCCTCCCTGGGGGTGGCCCCACACTGCGCTCAGCATCCAGTGGCCCTGTCCCCGACAGTGCCCCCTTCCCAGCGCGCTGACTCCCGTCCC